CAAAATTTCATTATCAGATATAATCAATCATTCATTGATATGAATGAAACATACAGAGAGATTAAACACGTTATCGTATGGATCCAGTGGTTCGTCTTTTAAAATCCATTGTGATATTATTGTTGCCATATCGATACCCAAGATGTCACCCTCAAAGAGCTCAGAATTCATAATTGAACTTAGTCGTTCCTGGCTGACATTCTCCACTGGAATTCCCTTTTTCTTTTCCAGAAATTCGATTAAATTTTTACAGACACACAAATAAGCCAGTTATTAGATGAGTATATTGCTGTCTCACTAATATTTATAGAATTAGTTCATATTAGGTATATAGCAGATGAAACGAGATGACAAAGCTACACAAACTAGATGACAGAACTACAAAGACTTCCTAAAATAGTAGATTAAAAAGATCTTATGTATCTAAAAGTTGTTGCAAACACGTCATGCATGAAGAATTGTCAAGGGAATTGTGTAACTGAATTATATGATTGTGTGACTGAATTATCTTTCTTCCAACTTTCAGCAAGTATTTTGTCAAAGTTTTGAATTCGACAAGAAAGCACCTGGAGTTATTTCGGCGAGAATGAAGTCTTCTGGTTGTAGATATTCCTGTCGTAGAATCGAAGTTTTGTTATCTTCAATGGAATAAAATTCCATTTCAAGCACAAACTAGGATCCATTGAAATGAGCACTACCATAAGAATTTATATGAACATTTTCAAACTTTTCTTAGATTTTCTCATCAATGCAATGGTTCTGCTTAATCTTACAGCGATTATTAATTTACCTTACCGACTGTTTTGTAAATCGGCATTTCTCAGTTAATACGGTAGCATGACTTGATTTAATTCTAATTCTTTTTTTAGTTTGAATTTATAAATTCTCATACCATCAAAGGAGACTTCTTGTCCATCAGCTTCAATGTAATTCCTCGTGAACACCGATAGAGCAGTGCCACGATCGGGTAATTGGTAAAACGCGAAGACAGTAAGAAATATGCGGAGCAGCATGCTAACTGTTAACCAGCAATGCCAATGAAATGATTGGTAGTTTCACCGGTAATAAATTTTTTTTCTTTTTTTTTGTTTTTGTTTTTTGTTTTTGAATAATATAGTAAGGGATCGATGATCAAGGTGGTCAAAATTTTGACAACAACAATTTCGAATAATAATAATAATGAATAGATGAATTAAGCGAGTAGTAACAGTGAACTGAACAAAGTTTGCCCTGGAATTCGTATTTTGGAGGAAGAGAAGGAGGAAAGAAGTGAACGCTTGTTTGGATCATGTCGATGGATAAGCTATAACAGACTGAACTGTTGTTCTTTTCGTCATTCCTCTTTTTTATCAAATAGACAATTAAGCACAAACCAACCCTATTAGATATTATGTCAAAACTGGTCATCAGTGGCCACTATTACAGATCCCTAGACTATTACTTGATACAGAAACACCTCTACCACTACCACTACTACTACCATCACTACTTTTACTTCTACTACTACTACTGCTATTGCTATCACTAACAACTTCATTTTTCTATTTTCTATGTTACCAGCTTTTTTGGTAACCTCGTTACCTGAATCATGTCTGATTTGTCAACCGAACATTGTCTCCTTCCATTAAATTAATTAATTTTGAATTGGATCAAAAGCGAGAAAATTTTACAGTATGGTGAACTTGAAATGCTTTCGAAATATTACAGTGATAATAAAATGATACACAACTTTTTCCATACAATACCGGGAAAATCATCATGTAACTTCTATAATACTGTTGAAAACAACTGTACATGTAGCAGTTTTCGTTTAACGTATTTAATGCAGAAATCAATACTTTGAAACATTTTCGTTATTTGAAATTACTGTTTGCTATTAAAAGCATGTGCCAAACAAATAACTCGATGTTATATCGTCGATGTTTATCTTTTTCATGTGGATGAGCAGACTGAATGCATCTTCCGAAAGTGTGAAAGATTGACCCAAATGTTCTTTACAGTGTGCTTCAATAATGTATATCCTATTTTCTTGAGGTTCAACAACTGATATAATGATGTCAAGAAACATTGAACCGGATACGGAAGCAACAAATAAATAAACGAATCGAAAAAATTTCACCGTTCTACTCTCGTCTTCTACCAATTCCTAAGCTATAGAGCTATCCGATCTATTGCTTAAAAACTTCCGCTCACTTTTTGCCCATCTCTCCTCCACTCGCGTTATTCCATTCATTTCATTTTCCTTCTATCTTATTCACAATACTATTTTCAGAGGAACCATTCGAAAATTTCAGGAGTTGTAAAAATGAGAAATATTGCAAACAACCTATAATTCATATACCATTCAAATTTACTATCATGATAATGATTACTGCCAACTTCAATGATACTTGAAGCATTGTATCTTAAAGATCTAAACTGGAAATTTTTCTATGCTAGCATTTAATGATTGCTTTCAAAAAATCCCAACATCTAATAACAATTCGTGCAAGAAAATAAAAGTCTTCTTTTTATTATTCAGAACATATTATAGGAAAGGAAAAGGAATAACTTCATACAGTGATTCTTTAATTCATCAATTAACACAAACAGTACCATCACAATGGTAAGGAAGTCAAAACAACCAAATTTCGTATACTTTAAAAAGTAACATATATTTTCGTATAGAAATAACATTTCTATTAAATATTTTTTGCACAGAACTATGTTTTGCGTTGCAGTTACAGTATTAACTTTTGCTGAGTATCAAAACAAAATGAAGTGAAAAAAATTCCATTCCAAAAATTTTCACTGCTAACAAATGCGTAGATGTTTATGCTCACGTGATGCTACTAAATCCGATTGGCTGGTGAAAACCATATACAGTAAGCCATCCTGGTCTACTTCCTTCTGATAGCTGATACATGTTCATACTGTTTGAAGGCAGAAAGTTTGATCCGAATGAAGCTGTAA